TTTTGTGATCGACATGCCAATAGCTACTATCAACGACATTGCTAACCCCTGTACTAGGGACATTTCCCATGACTATTACAGTTCGATACAAGATGTTTATGTCGCTGCTTCGTTTTCTAACCCAAAATGTTAAGGCGAGGTGTCTTCGTTATGTGATCGCTTGTTATGCATGATTCAAAACCATCTATGGTGGTTTGTTTATTTGAATTTAATTCTTTGTTTATTAGGCAGGCTCTTTTTACTACCAATACGGAACTATCTCCTTTAAATTATTGCGTGAGGTAAACATATCGATGAACATAACAATAAACTGCTTTGATATTGGACTTCCCATGTTATATGTAGGCGCGATTTATTTTTATATGTTGTTTCTGTCTACTAGTTGCAAACAATAACGGAATTTGCAATGCAGAACATTCAAATTGTCGGAAAAGGAAAAGCTTACAACTCAAAGTCACAAGCTAAACATTTCTTGAATAATTAATTAAGAATTGATAAGCTAACAAAGTTTTATGACAATGTTTCGTTATGCATTAAATCCGTACAGTCAACCCTCTTTATAGTCACCCCCTCTATAAGCACACCATTGAACTTATAGAAAAACCCTCTATATAGTCACAACCTTTTATAAGCACATTTTCAACTAATGTTGCATTGTTTCCGACAGCGCGATATCAATAGGGATGGTAATTATTAACGCGGCCTTCGTCGTTATTTTTTACATAATTATTCACATGCATGGCGTAATTTTTGTTTGGCGTTTCTCAGTTCTTTTTATATGTATTCCCTTCTTTCTTGATTGTTTTACTATTACATTCTTGAACTTCGAGATCATTTTTAATATTTTGATAGTAACCTCGTTATTTCGTTACCGAAGTCCGAGTAAAGTCGCTTTATACACGCAATAATAAATTAGGATAGTGATTGATTATAATAGCGAATTGCATTATATTGTATATACGTGGTAATAATTATTAATACGGTTTCACGTATTATCGATCAATATTGTTACCCTTTTAAAGATAATGAATTGTTTAACAATAGCTGTCCAATCGATTCTGCTTTCGGAATATATATTAATTGATGAAAAGTCGTAAATAACGATTTGGTGACTGATAGGAAATTGTTTATGTATTTTCTCTACAGAAGAAGAGGACAATGACTCGTCATGTCTTCCCACTGTTTTGACTAGAGATACTGTAACTGCATTTGAAACAGCATTCAATAAGGTGATCTCAAAGTCTTTCGTTCGGATTTTAGGGCCGTTACACCGAAGGCGTGTCTATGATTCGTTATTCGGTACTATGTAACTCCACTTTTAGCCATTTCGGTTCCGGGGATGCGATCTTGAAGTCTAGGCGTCAATTTTCTGAGAACAGTGAAACGTGGGACTAGAATGGAGCCTAATACATGCAGACGATTTCGGGAATAAAGAAAAAGAATCACGGGAGAGATAGGATCTGTTTGGAGGTTCTCGATCGTAACCCGCAACTGCTAGGACATAACCCTGAACCCACCAAACGGTCGGCGAAAGCACAATTAAAATCGTGAGCTTTTTTTTACCTGAGATCTATTTGATTATCGAAGAACACATGCAAGGTCCGAATTTCTCCAGTCGGGTATAGTATAAATATAAAATAAAGCGATGAGAGGAATAGAGGGGAGTTGGATGCGTCGAAACAACCACCTAAGCGGCGTGGCTGCGGCCGAGCTAGTTATGGAGAACTCCACTCCGGTGGGCTCCTACTTAAGTCTGCGTGAAGGTAAAAGATTTCATTGCCAAGAACAACACCAGTTCATTCAATGATTCGCACTGACCGGAGCCCCTTTTAGAGAGTAGTTTTTTGTTGCTTCATGTATTAAACTAACTAACATCTTTTTCCATTTTGATATTAAAAATCCTTGTTTTTGACTGTCATCCATCCATTCAATCCACCAACAAAATTATTTTTCTAAAGAATCATTAGGGAGCATGGAGAGCGTCAAAAGGAGCCAGAGAAGTATCCTGGTATCTCATCAATGATTAATCAGTGTCCAATCAAGGATCAGTGTTTTTGTTATATCAGTGAGTCTTGGAGAGGTTTTTTTTTATATACTTTTTAGCTCTCATGAAGGATTGAATGAAGTGAAAGTAAGTAAAAGAAAAACAGGAAGCTGTAAGGACCTAGCCAATCCATACAACATTGGTGACTTAGTATTAGTTCTGTCAAGATGAAGAAGAACTTTTCCTTATAGAAGTAGCAGGACCAACATTCCATGAGGATGAAAAGAGACTGGTGAAAGCTCCTCAAAGGAATGAAGCTTGCACTTGGTATACTGGTTCCAATTATGTATGTTGAAAGAGTCAGACAAATGTGTGTATATGGAACATTGATTTATGTATTGGTTATGAGATCTGCTCTCTTGTTTCTATTCTATGGAAATTTGTTTATATTATCTTTCAGGATTTAAATGATTGTCAACTCCTTCATTACTATTACCATATTTATACCACAACTATGATCAATGATTTGCATGTTTTGATATAATCAAGCATCTAAACAAGATTTTAACGTCTTAATCAGAATGAAATTGGTTGATCAAAGAAAAAAAAGGGTGCTGATTGGGATACTGAAGAGGAGAAGTTAATTACCGCGGGATAGTGTAAATAGCCGATTTTGCTATTTACTACGGAATTGTTTAATTGGTCAAAAATTCACTCCCATGTATTTTAGAGT